GTATATGTTGATGATTTAAATATAATTAGAACTCCCGAAGAGATTCTAAGTTCCATAAGTTATTTAAAAAATAGAATTTGATATGAAAGACCTTGAAAAAAATAAAATTTTATCTCGACCTACAGTTCGAACACTTAGAGGATGAAATTTTTATTCATCGATCAACATATATAGAAAAAGTACTCGTAATAATTCTATATGTATAAGACTCATCCATTGACTAGTCCAATGGTAGTTCGTTCACTCGATGTCCAAAAGGATTCTTTTCAGCTTTGAAAAGATAACAAAGAATTTCTTGATCCCGAAGTATCATACCTTAGTGTAATTGGTGTATTAATATATCTTGCTAATAATACCGGATCCGATATAACATTTTATATAAATTTATTAATAAGATATAGTTATGCTCCAACATGGAGACATTAAAATGGAATTAAACATATACTATGTTATCTCTAAGAAATAATTGATATGGACTTATATTACTCCAATAAATCAAAGACATGATTAATTGGTTATGCAAATGCAATTTATTTATCCGATTCACACAAAGCTTGATCACAAACCGATTATGTTTTTATATATAGAAATGCGGTTATTTCATGGTATTCTATAAAGCAAACTATAGCTACCACATCTTTAAACTATGTAAAAATACTAGCAATTCATAAGGTAAGTGAAGAATATGTTTAGTGAAGATCAATGACCCATCATATTTGAAAGACATGTGGTTTATCTATTAATAAGGAAGTTCCAATAATATTATATGAAGATAATACTCGCTTATATAGCTCAATTAAAATAAGGACACATCAAAAGTGACAAAATAAAATATATATCACCAAAATTATTTTTTACTCATGATTTTTAATGAAATGATGATATTAATGTTCAACAAATTCAATCAAGTGATGATCCATTGGATTTGTTCACAAAGGCATTACCTACTATAACTTTTGAGAAGATGATTCACAAGATTGAAATACATTGTCTTAAAGATCTTAAATAGTGTTTTTAACGGGAAGCCCAATATGGGAATTAACATGTACAAGAAATATTGTATTCTTTTTCCTTCACTAGGATTTTTTTTCCCATTGGTTTTTTTTTTTAGTAAGGTTTTAACGAGGCATGTCCCTTGTACAATGAACATTCAAGGAGGGGCATTCAAGGATGAGTGTTATAAAATAATGAATGTTCATATACTTTTCATATCCTCGCTATTTATAATTCTTAATGTGATTCAATTCACCATTCAATATGATAAATTAAAAGGATGATGCAATTGATTTAATAATTTATGTATTTTTAATCATTCATAGTCCCTTTCAATTCTCTTCTCAATTTTAAAACCTATAAATGTGATTGATTATTCATTAGTTTGTGTACAAGTATTTTATAGAGATTAAGAGAATAATTTGAAGCTTTTATCACCGATATTCACTTTATTTTATCGTGTATTCATTTTTCTATCATCTTTCTCTTCAATTCTACTATTGTTGCTATTTTTTTTTTAATTATAATTTAGTTTTTTATTATCTTTCTTTATAACTTTCTCCAACATCTTTCTCTTTTATTATTTACCATTATCGTTACTTTCTTTTATAGTTATTATCAATTTTAAAACATTTGTTTTTTTTTTCCAAACTATAATGCTTTTAAGATGGAAAAAAGGATTATTTGTCATTCAACATGTTGTGTAGGTAATACCAATGTTTGGTTTGGTTTGATTTTGTTCCTTGAAAGGATGCATTGTGTTTGTTCAATTTGCAACCATAACCATATAACTATTTGAAGCAATAAAATACATTAAGGTGTGAAAAATAGAATTATTTAGGTGTTGTTTAGCAATAAAAAACGAAATGATAGAAATAGAAATGAAAGTTTTATTTTCACTTTTTATGTGTTTGGTTAAAAGAAATAAAGTGTAAATAATAATGAAGATTGAGAATGAAAAAAAAATTAAACATAATTTATTTTCATAAGGAAGGTGAAAATAAAAACTAGGAATGAGAATGATTTTTTTTTAAATAATGATATATTATTTTTTTTATTATGTATTAACTACTTATACCACCATCCACACCTTCATTGACGGTAATGATTAATTTTTTTTTTAAAAAAATTATTATTATTATTATTCCACCACCACTCCTCGGATGCCACCATCATTTTTATTATACCACCACTACCACCATCATCATAATTGATGGTGGTGATAAAAAATATTATCATTATTATTTTATCACCATTCTTTTTTCACCACCATCGTCACTTTCATTATACCATCACTATTATCACCATCATTCTTCTTTCACTCGCCACCTCTTATAGTGGTGATATCAATTTTTTTAAAAATATATTATTATTATTAGTATATTATTTTTATTATCAATTCCTCCTCCTACTCCACCACCACCACAACAACAATAATAATCATAATTATCTTTATCGGCTTTATTACTATCATAGTTGTTGAAATTATTTTTTAAAATTTTATTTTAATTTTTTATCATTATTTCAAACATAGTATGAGAATAGAAATGTCATTTTGATTTTTTAATTTTCTTTATCGCATTCTTATTTTAGGCATTTCATTTGGATTTCATTATCACAAAGATTCACGATTTCTTTCTTCTTTTTTTTTTTTTTTTGGTCTTTCTTCCTTTTCTTTTCTTCCAAAAGGTTTCTCTTTCGCTAGTATAAATAGCAACTTTAACCGTTTAAGTTTTACACTCAATTGATCCATTAAGACACATTCCTTGATCATGAAGCTATCGAATTAATGACGGTAATTGAAGAGTCCAACAAACTGCCAAAGAATTCAAAGAGAGAATGTTCACCTATAATTTTAGAAACTTCTATCTCTTTCTCTTTTTCAATGCGGGAGATGATAGAGAACAAATCTATCGATGAGAGGATTAAGGTAAAGCCGTCTATTACATGACACATGTATTCTTTCTCGTTATGTTTTTTTTTTCATTTCAAATTTAGTTACATTTGCTATTAGATGACACTTTTTGAATAACAATAAATTTTGGATTCGTTGTATAGAATGGGTGTAACTCGATGATTGATTTTTGAGTATTTTATAAGACCAATTAACAATTAATGTCCTTCGTAATTTATATTTTGAAACATAATATGCTAGACATTTTTTTTAAACATGGGTAGTTATTTTATGGTTAAATATGCACCTTTGTTTTCATATAATAGGAATGAAAGGTTCGGAATGAGAATTCATGAATTGAAATGAAAATTAGGGAATCGGAATGGTATTTGCATTCCCATACCGTGTTTGGAATACTAAAAAGGAATCGGAATGTAATTTAAAATTTTTAAGATTTGATTTTTTATACAAATAAAAATAATGATGAAAAAAATAATTTTATCAAATTATAATGGTTGTAAAAATAATAAAAGTGATGGTGGTGGTGTCGGTGGCGGCGTTTACGATGACAACGGTGGTGGTGCTTATGGTGGTGGTTGTAGTGGTGGTGGTGGTAGTTGTAGTTATGATGGTAGAAGAAGTAGTTAATATATAATAAATAATAAATAAATTATTATTTTGAAAAAAGGTTTCATTCTCATTCCTTATTTTTATTCCAATGTTTTAAATGAGAATGAAGTCGTGTGTGATTTTTATTTTCATTCCTACTCTTTATTCTCATTTCCATTTCATTCATTTTAACCAAACAACTATAAGGTGGAAATAAAATTTTCATTCTCATTCCCAGCACTATGTTTCGATAATCAAACAACACCATAAAGTCTTACATTTGTTTCTAAATTTTAATTACATACTATTTGTCTCCGAAAATATTTAAAATGTTCAATCTATTATTTCGATTATATGAAATTTTTTTGACCAAAATGTTTTTGATTGAAATGCAAATAATAATAATAATAATAATAATAATAATAATAAATAAATAAATAAATAAATATTTTGGTCAAAAAATTCAATGATCGAAAAATTGATTGAAATGACATATTGAATATTTTAAAAAAATTGTGATAGATGTAATGTAATTGGAAAACACTTTTAATATTATATAAGAGCAAATATGTTTATTTATCTTTTTTTTTTTTTTAATTAAACAAAAGTACAATATTCACTTAGTGTGGTAATTTTAAACATAGAAAGCAAGTTGAGGACATCATGAGAATTGTTGATATGTGTTTTTTTATTAAACAAAAAGAAAATATTTACCCTTTTTCCAAAATCAATTTTGTTTCATGTGATGGTTATGATGAATAGATTATGTGAAGAAAAAGTTGATGAAGGGTTTAAGTTAAATACTTCTTAATTGTTAAAGAATATTTACAATATAGAAGAATAGTGCACAAGAAAATTATGCAAGATGACATGCTAAGCATTAGAGTAAAGAAAAATTCTAAGAGTAACTATGCATGATGACATGCAAAGCATTATAAAAAAGAAATATACTAAGAGTGATTTCAACTAATTTTTGATAAAATAAAAGTCAATAGTAAATTATTTTTATATCTAATATTAAAAGATATTTTTATATTAACTTTAGCATAGCATAAATGAAAACCAAATCCTTTCATCATATAATTTTAAAAATTTATTATTCTGCTCAATTTGGTGCGTTCAAAAGAATAAACTTTTAGTGAGTGAATTTGATTAGTTGTAAATTGAAGGTTGCCATCAACCCAAGTATATCATCACGGAAGGATTCAATCAACTCGTATTAAAATAAAGGGACTTAATTAAATATTTGGTGGTAGGATGATTATGACAGTAAATAGTAAATCCAAACCACAAAACTGTGCTGTGCCAGAAATTTTATATTACTCCAGCGTAATTATTAATATTGAAATTTAAGTTTATATATAAATATTTTTATTCTGTTTAATAAATATGGATGTGAATTTTTTTTTTTGTCTAAATGTGTTTTTAATAATTGATTTATTGATTACATCGGAAGAATGTTAAAATTTCTAGCGCTGAGCTCTATATTTCTCTACTTTCTACCATGTTATGGTGGAAGGCAGGCACAGTCGCATATCAAAAGGATACACGACCAATAAAACATGACATTAGAGATGTTGGCTCTCTGTTGACCTCAAGGAGCACTAATCAAATCAAACACGAAAAGAACGGAGATAGAGAGACCGACCAAGTATGAGATGACTCCACGAGTGGAAACTCGAAAATGAAAGAAATGAAGGAAAGTTCTATTAAGGTGGCGTATCCGATTCGAAAGTCAATACATTGCCAAAAACAAAAAGGATGGGTTTGTACGGTCCTATTGCCAAATGCCGAACACATGCATCAATTGAGTCTTTGACCAACCCATTACTCCTCCTTTCTAATTTTCTTTCTTCCACTCAGCAAAAGCATAACGCATCAATCTCTTCCAGACTTTTCAGTTTCAGAGAAATCCTTACCCATCCATCAAAACACTGTTCTCTCCTTGGATCACCCACTTTACAAAACCTCTGTGTTTTTTCTGTTTCTGTGGTTTTGTTTCATAACACAACAATACAACCACCTCCACTTGTCATCATAGTTTCATCAACAACCGGACAGCAAGTGCTTTCACTACAAAACACGAAGTGGGTTTTTGATCTTTGGAATTTCTTTATAGAAAGTTGTCAGCTTTCTTTGTGTTCTGACATGGGTTTTTTTCTTTTTGGAATTTGTTTCAAGTGTATCCAAAGGTGAAGGTGAGAGCAGATGGGCAAGATGATCAGCATGCATACGACTGGAGTTCTTTGCTTTCCTTGAAAGATATCCAGTCTCTTTGTTTGCAGGATTCTTGTTTTCCAGGTACTTCCTGCTCTTTGTCGTTCCTCTATCAGCCCTTTTTTCTTTCTTGTTTTGAATTTTTGGCAAAAGTTTTTCCTTTTTCTAATTAGTTTGATCTCTCTTACGAGTAGTCTGACCTTGATAATCTACCTCTGTAACTGCTAGCTGAGATAAATAGTTGGGTATCTGTGTTTTGATAATATCTGTTATGTTTATTCTTATCTGACCACGATTTTGTAATTTTGTTATACTCAGTTGTTGCTGTTTGGCCAAGCGCTCAACTGTATGCGTCGTTACTAGTATGGTTAAAATTTATTAGTTGTTTAAAAAGTATGACTAATTGAACTCGTATGTCCTGCTTTTAAAGTTGGACGAGAGAGTACAAAGGAACTTTCTGTTTCTTCAGTAACTTCCTGAATTAATTTCCACGGTTGTTTATTTACCAATGATTTTGGCTGAAGAAAAATGCAAGAGTTTTTAGCAGCATATTCCTGTCCTATTCCCTTTTTACTATTGAAATGAGGTGGAGAATTATGGAAATGATGCTTCCATTAGCTGCCATTTTTAGGTTCAATATTCAATTATCAAGTTAAATATTATGAAAATGGTGTTTAGAACTTTGCCTTGCTAGTAATTTTGATGTTACAATGGTGATATTATTCTTTGATAAGGAGTATTACACTCAGAAATATGGTGGCACAGTATCGCACTAAAGAATTGCAGAATTTGAAATAAACAATACATAGAAAACCAGGCAACGAGCCTAAATATGAGAAACTGCTCTCCTTTGTTTCAATTAGGGATAGATAAGCACTTGCATTAAATTATGAAAATTAGTGCTGATTTTCTTTTTTCAAATACCAATACCTTCGTTATTTGCAGGGAAGGGGCACCAAGATGTTTCTCCAACAACCATAGCAAGAATTCCAAAGTCTTATGTACCGAATGTTATCATGCCAAAAGTTTCTGTTTCTGAAGGTTGAAGTTCAACTCATTGTATTCATGGCACAAAATTTGCATTAGACTCTGAGCAGAGGTATTTATCAATTTTACAAATAAACTCTATTTCACAGGCACAGAGAAGAAGAACAATTTTACTGAGGATAGACCAAATATTAGAGCCAGTTTGATCCCACGTCCCCGTGCTGTCTTATCTAGTCCTGGTAATTTCCTTTTCCACTTGACCATTCAAACCAAGTTTATCTCTTCAAGTACTACTCACTATGTTGTTGTACTCTATCATGCCATAATATGTGCAACAAAGAGCTTTGTATAGACATATGAAAATAAACTAAAAATAAGCTAGCTTCAACCTGGTCTAGGGTTGGAAAATGAAAGTAAACTTTCATTACCCTTGTTTGTGTAAGAAAAGTAAACTTTCATTACCCTTGTTTGTGTATGAACTATAACTATAGTTATGAAGCATGCTTTTGGTTTTGGCTTTTCCGGCAACAATGCAAGTCATCCAAGTTTAATTCCTTTCCTGGAATGCATATGCTTTAATTTTCATCGTATGATATCCTCATCGATTTTTATATTCTAGTAACCTTTCCAAATTATTGAATAAGAATATGGAATATGCAGAAGGTACTAATGAACTCCATGCGGTTAGGAAAACATATGCCTGTGGGAAGTCTCCGGCTACATAAAACCTGAAATAACTTGAGGTGTTTCTGGTTTGGAAGCATCAGATCATAAAAATTTTGTGGAACGAGGTGCTCTGTTCGTATTGGAACATAATGACCCAGTTTTTCTGGGATGGGGATTTGACAAATTAAACCTATTATTTATTTGGGTATGAAAAAGCCCAGATGCCCAGATAACCATTGCAGCATATTGTTGTTGTTTTTTTTCCCCTGCTGTTTATGCACTGGCCTGCTGTCTACACCCCTTTCCATTTATTTGTGTCCCACAATCTGTTTAGATGATGTAAAGATCTCTAACTTGTGTGATTTCGAATTTGTATCCAGACAATGATGCAGTGATCGGAAATAACAACCGAACTAAAGTGGCACGGCCTACAGCTTCGAAGAATAATAAGCTGATTCAAAGTAGACATGAACTATGTAAAGTTGTCCCCAGTCAAATGACTGATGCAAGTCCAACAAATACAAGAAAGTCTAAGAGCACCCCTGATAATAAGAGCGAGCTTAAAGTAAAGAAAGGGTCGCCAACGGAAGCATCCAATCAGAGAAGAAAGACTGCAACCGATAAACCACATTTTATGAGAATCTAATTGTTTGATTACGCACACTGGATCCATGGTTGAGTTGATAGGTAACAGGGCATTTTTGCTTCCTAATGGAAGTATGGCAACCTCTGTTTCAATTTTGTTATACTGTAATAGAGATCACATGTACATTATGAGATTATAGTCCCGTAAAAGAAATCCGCATATTATGAGCTTGTAGTCCAGGGGAATCCAGAGAAAGGAACATCAGAAAGATCAGCCTGCAACAATCATTGATGGAAATGTTCAACACTACACATGGGGCGGTTGAAGGCAAGACTCTCCAGCCAAAGTCCGTGGTGATTTTTAGAGCTAACAAACTCAGTCTACAATCAGTATTGTCATAACCATAATTTTGACCCCATAATTTGTGGATTTATTTTATAAATTTCTTGTTATTTGCATAGGCTAGATTTCCCATGAATTTTTATTTTTATTTTTAGCATTGTGAATAGGGTTTGTTTCATTTAATTTTAAAATTTTAGTTTAATTTCTCACATTTATGTTTTTTTTATCATAAATACCAAAAATAGAAAGAAAATGAAAGAAAAAGAAGAAAAAGAAAAGGAGAAAAGAAGATACAAAAAGAAGAGAATTAATTATGGATTTTAGGGTTTTAATTGTAATTAGTGTAAATATTTGTGGGTTAATTTAGAAATACAAAAATTCGGGAAAGCAATTGAGATCATTGGGGGGTCAAGCAGTGGAAATTAAGACAAGATGGATCGAAATACTTTAGTTGAGGTGCTTAATTGAAGGAAAATTAAAATAAAGAGGGACAAAATTTGAAGGAAAAACAAACGACAAGGACGAACTCAAAAGAGGAATACAAAGACAATAGAAGGCTTTGTTATCCTGTTTTCCCTTCAAGCCAGCCATTGTTCTTCTTCTCTATGGAAGGCAACCTGCAACAAACACAAAAGAGGAATACACCGAGAAGACAAACGGGGAGAGGGACTGGCATTTTTGTCCGTTGGCTCCTCTCCCCAGCTGGTATTGTACTATATAATCTTCCCTCGTCATACTAAATGATAACATATTGGGGAGTGACAGACACAATAGAGAGGAGACCGAAAGAAAAAGAAAAAAAAAACAAAAGGAGGAGCGGAGCTTAGGCAGAGAGAAAGGAGGCTAGGATGAGAGGAAAATGATCCAAGGGTGAGAATAAAAAGAAGAGAGTGGTTTTAGAAGGGAGAAAGGTTTGGGTTTAAAAAAAAACAAGAAGAAGAAGAAAGTTTTTGGATAGTAGGTTTTGAAGAAGAAAACAGTCTTCATTCTCTCTCTCTTCACTTCGGCCATTCTCTCGTCTTGATTGTGAGAAAGGAAGTGGGAGTTAGCTTGGAACATCATCTTTTCATGTCACCCATAAAAGCTTCAACATGTGGCTTTCCTTTTTATGGCTCTTATTTTTCTCTCTCTACAAAACTCTCTAACAATGGTGGGAAAACAATTTTAGCTTAAACTTAATGGATATATGGAGGGGGAGAATGAGTTTTTAGAGGTTAAAAACCACACAAATGAAAAATAAAGAGGATACATTTTAATTTATTTTTGGACATTAATGGTTTCTTGCTTCTGTTTGTCGCATGAGCAAGAAGAAGGTAAGTTTTTTCAAAAAAAAAAAAATCGTGTCCTCATAATTATAGGAACCTTTCAATCAAGTTTCTAATGTGAAGGATTTGAGGGGTGAAATTGATAGAAGTTTTAATCCTAGGACTAGTTCGTTTGTTATTTAGTTTTACAAGCCTGCGTAAACTATTTTAATACGAAACTGTTAGAGTTTGTTCATGTATTTGTCTTTAGCATTGGCTTTAAAATTTATAATTTTAAGAGTACATTTGCTATTATTTCGAAATTTATTTATTATTCTACCATTCTTTTAATTATTAATATTGAGAATTTTTTTTTCAAAAGACTCTAATTGATTAATCCAAAAATAATAATAATAAAAAAGATATGTGGAAAAAAAACAAGAAAAAAAGAAGAAAAATATTTCCCAAAGCAAATTGGAAGTCAAAATGAAAGTTGAAATTTAGATAAACAGACAACAAGAGTTGAGTCTAGAAAATAAATGCAACAATCAAAATAACAAAGTTAAAATACAAGTCAAGAAAACTCTTATAAACATCAAGATAACACAAAAACCTAACCAACGACTAAAGTGACAAAATCCAGGCAACGATTGTCTACTACTATATCCATGGACAACAAAGTGATATTCTATCTCAAAACTCTTGAACACTTTTTGAGCCTTTATATGTCTATTCTTTCATAAGCCCTATCTTACATTACATACTTCTACAAGTCCTTTTTGATCAAATACAATTTATTTATGTTGGTGAATTTTAATCTAAAATTGAAAAAAAATAAAACATGACCAATTAGTACGTTGTTTGTCATTCTTTATGATATCGAATCACAAGTTTTCATCAAATAACTTGAGAGCGAGAAATAAATAAGATTAGAATATTCTAAGGCAAGACTATCCTTCGAACCTTTTTTTTTTTTTGTCAAAATACTTTTTGCCCAAGTAATTTCTCACTTGACCATTTGCTTTCAATGGCATCAAAACCAAAAATTTTATAAATCTTAGTCAAATACACCGGCCCTTCTAACTTAAGAAAATAATCTTCTTGTCCAATTGCCTCATAAAATTTGAATAAAAGTGCTTTAATTAGAATATCTCTTTTTTTTTTTTTTCCAAGAGTTGAAACGAGTGAATGTGTAAAAAACGTTATAAACGTATGATCTTAACCGAGTACTTTGAAACATGCCATGATCCAATTTGAATTGTAATCAATAAAATTGAAAACATTTAGAGGTAAGGTCAATGATCTAACAACTTAAATCGAGTTCAATAATTATTCAAATAATGACATCATCAAGCCAACTAAAGGAAGATGAGGACCCCAATTTAAGAAAAAAATGGATAGCCAAGGACCAAATTGTCGTCAAGACTAGGAGGTAATAAGATTACATCAATTTCATAGGTCAAATTCAATATGAGAATGAAGAAGTTAAGTAATAAAGAAAAGACACAGGTGGAGAAGGTTGAGTACTTACCGAAGTGGTAACCTTTATTTGTCACAAGTAAGAAATTTTTAATACCCGAGAACATTTTTATGCATTTATGTGTATTTATTTTGTTAAGTATGTGCATGTTATGTTTTGTGTTTATATTGATGCGTGTTTGGTTTGCAAATTCATGTTGCTCAATGTTGCATGTATAGGTGACTAGGGAACCCAAATAAGATAATTAAAAAGATTAAGGGCTTAAGTGAATTAATTGATAAAATGAGGTGATTAAGTTGTTAAGCTTTTTAAACTTGAGGGATCTAGAAATATAGCTTAATTAAATCACCCATACATGTGCTAACCCAAGAATAAAACGTAATTAGTGTCTTAAACATATGTTAATATAGAAATTAATCTCCTATTTAGGTGTCCACACGTGTGTGCACTTAATTTAAAATATCTAAGCCTAAAACATCCATCTTAAAATATGTGTCCTTCTAAGTATTATTGGATCCCTTAGTTTTAACCAAGAAAGGAAAAGAAAAAGAGTGCTTGGTTTGCTTGTGTTGTTCTTTCTTTCATTTGTAATGTTTCAACTTTGAGACCTAGAAACAGAGAAAGAGAAAACAAGAGAACAACCAAAATTAATAAAGGAAGAAAATTATGGTCGAGAGAGGGTTTAGTTCGGAGGAAGAAAATCTAGGTAGTTTTGGTCGAGGTAAGATCTTGAGGGCTTTTAGGGTGTTTTTAACAACACTAAAACCTTAAGGTGAGTGTAATTTCAACTCATCATAAAACTTAGAAGTTTTAGAGTTTGGATTATGTGTTTAATTGATGATTGAACATTTGTGATGTTGTGTTCTTGTATCTAATTGAAGACTAGTAAGTGCAATCTCAACTTATCACAAGACTTAGAGGTTTTAGGATTGATGGGTACGTGTTTAATTATTGATTAAACATTGGTGATGATGTTTTTGCTTGATGATTGACTACATGTGAAGATAAGTTCATTTGTTGTTATGTTTATGGGTGTTATTGGGTTATTGAGTTTATGGATATACTCGTTATTGAATTCGTGGGTATACTTGTTGGTGAGTTTATGGGTTTACTTATTGTTAAGACTATGGGCTCACTTGGCTTTGCATTTATGTGTTTATTAGGTAATTGAAAACTTGTTATTGGGATGATTTTAGGTTATGTGATACTTGGGGTTGCTTGGTTAAATGTTTAAGTGTTTATTTGGAGAATGGATACTTGTGATGTTACTTGATAGTTTTCGTTCATGTGATTACTTCATGTTACACAGATTGTGTTCATGAGATGGTTTTGGTTCATAAGCTTGCTTAAGGTCATTTGGTTTATATTCATATTTTTAGGGTTTCTATTGTAATTGCATTCACACAATGAAAATATTTGTATCATGATTTTAAGCATTCAAGAAAGGACATGTTTATGTTTTTAAAGAGGACATACAAGGCTCACGGCTAGACATGTTTAAGAGGAACAAAGGGAATTATCAACTCTTTGTGAGGTTTCGGATAAACATGTCGAGTGCTTTTATCGTTTTCATAAAGGATGGTTTTAAATGAGGGCTGAATCTATACATTCAATAAATTGCATCCGAAAGATGAAAAATGAATTTTAGTATCATGAAAAACATATTTGTACGTATTCATAATGGTTACACTTATTAGGCTTTAGCTCATTGTTTGTCTTATGGTGTAGGTGAACAAAGTGATGCATGATAGGATGATTTGGTGTTGAGGATGCTCGTTGTGAGGTGTCGGGTTTGCCAAAGTGTGTACTATGTCTAGGTTTAAAGTTTAAAGGTTAAACAATTCCTAGGTTTTGCAATTTTTATGTTTCCCAAGTTGGCCATTTTTGGGTTGTAAATTTATGAACATTTGGATTATTTCGGTATATTAACTCACACACACACACACACACACACACATACATGCACATAAGGGTTTAAAGTTTATAAAATGGTT